TTTGCTTTTATCTCCAGTAGACTTATCTGTATTAACGGTGGAGTGGAGTGTGGATGAAACTATTACAGCCTTATGTTTTCGAACAATAGGACACCACAGCCAAATTCGTGAAAGCCGAATGTGGAGGAGTACTCCACTCTATTTCGCATTGGAAGGAATTCCTTTGGCATTTCCCGGTTTTTTTTTCTCATCGTGCCTACGTAAGAGATTTTTTTCTGTAAAAAGCCTTTTTACCAAAGGAATACTAGTGAACCAGTATTCCTTTGCTAAAGGAACACTTCCAGTAGTTATCGCCTGTGATATTTCGTATTAAATCCAGGTACTGGATACGCAACACAACTTTCTTCTTCCGAGTTGCTTACTTGTTAAGAACCTTCTAGCTGTCTACCTACATAGGTCTCCAAATTCAACTTGTAAGCTGTCTTAGTGTCAGTTAAAGCAAATACTTATCCTGAAAAAAGAAAGCAGAATTATAATTTTACGGTATTTATTTCTATCACTTAAAATATAAAATTTCAACAAATAATTCATCTCATTTACTTATACAACCTTTATTCAGATCTAAACACTTAACTAAACGTCCAGGTACACCCGAAACTAAGCCATAATTTTCGGTAATGGTGTTCCAGGGATGTAGAACTGACCATTCTGACTGTTCAAAAAGAAAACCATTTAGGATGTCACCATATTTCGCACTATCAACAGTACTATTAACTATATAGAGAGGTGACATGTCATCTCAATATTTCCGCCAGATCGGGAACCATTCTGTCTCCGGCTTCTATATAACATTTAGCTTCTCCATTTTTAAAAATTTTAAAGTGTTTGTTTGTCTTTGTGTATTGTATTGTTATGTCCAAATTTACATGTATGACATTCTGCTCATGTCGGATAGGCCACAACTGACGAAATGCCCCTGAGGATGATCTATTGATCGAAAGTACTTGGGCAAGATTTAATTAATTACTGTGTTCGATATTTGCCTTGTATACCATCAAAGTTTAATATATTTTTACTTATTAACAGGTTTTCATTGTATACAGGAATATTAATTTCTAGTGGCTCCAACATGTTAAAGAATTCAGATTTTTCGACTGAAATAGTTCTTTTAAATTACTCTTATAACTACTTGTATTTCTTAAAGCCATACATAATGGAGAAGATTTTTTTGACCAGTACGTGTTAGTTAAATCGTGGTTATTTAATAAGGCTATTTTATCTAACAGAGTACGGTTTTTAAAAAAATACTTAATAATAAATTTTTCTGCTAACCATTCCCTTCTTAAAAATAATGGTGGTTCTAGTGCTTCAATCCGAAGTGGTTCCACAGCCGTTGAACACATTGAACCCAAATTTTCAAATGCTAGTTTAATTTGTTTTTGATACTTTTCCGTCAGATTTTTGTTTACTGTTTCAATATTTTGAATATTTAAGAATTCTATTGTTTTGTTATTGTATTCTATTTTATCTATAGCAATAGTAGTGTTACATTTGTCTGCTTCTATAAACACTTGTTGTTATCTATTGATTTATTTTGAATTGAAATTGCTGTTTGATTCTCGTTGAAACATGACTTTTTAGTTTCACTACACACATCGGTAATAGATTTTGATATATTTTTTCGATATTACTGACAGTTTTGTTTAATGCTATTTCACATTCTACACCTAAATATTCTTAAAGTTTTCTGATTATTATGTTGAGACAAGTTGTGTTTAAACCCTTTCTCTAAAAGTTGTATCTCGCTATTACTGAATTTATTATCTGTTAAATTTTTAAATCTATTGAAAAAATTATGGTCCGAAAATCTTTTTGTATACTGAACATTGGGTTCTTTACTATTGCAAATTAGAATATTTAATTTTTTACACTGTGATTACCTTTAAATTGTTGTTTTTTAGTTTTCCTTCTAAACTAAAATGAGGATGACTTCGGCTGCTTTTGCAGTTTTTTTTTGTTTTATTTCCATCGTTCTATCCCGATTTTATATTTATGTTGACAGTAACTTACTCATTTAGTCTTTAGCCTTACGTTCCATACTTTTAACATTACAAGCAGTTTAATTCACAATTATACTTCATTGCAGTTTTCTATTACGCTATATCACGAGTATAAAATAAACTTCAACGATATGGAAACATTGCTTTCTTGGTGTTTTCTATTTTATTTATCCTAATAGCTGTGTTTAAAATTACCTAAAATACCTTTCGGTAATTACTTAACACAATTTATGGAGCAGAAACAAGTGTTATTGCCAAGATATATGACTCCTTCGACTTAAGAACGGTGGAAGCTCCAAAAATCGATGTAGGACCTTTGGAAATGCCCTTCTGTCCCAAAGCAACCCTTGAGGACTAATTGCGTCTGGATTTAAACTTTGTCGAGTGGCTATTACTGTTGTGACACGTTCAAAATCTTCGAGCAGGAGATTGATAAAGTGTATTATACAACACGCCACATAGAATGTACCTATAATAATTTTTTTGTTTCTTTATTAAATCAAGTTATAACTACTTCTAAGTTCCACTTTATTTATAATAACTATTAATGATAATTGCAAGAATATTCACAACCCAGTGAAGTACAACTTATATGCTGACAACCTGATTTTATATTGCCGCAGTAAAGATACGTTCACAACTACAAACATAATCCAAAAGGCAGTAAATGAAGTAACTTCTTTTCTAACTTTTTTTCTTATCACATAAATCTTTCACCTTTAGCCTTAATTGACAATTGAGTATAAATCTCGCAATATATGCTGTTACTCGAATAAGTTTATTCAAATTTGAAAAACGTGTGAACAAATTAAAATTATCAATTAATATTAAGTGATAAGCAGTAGCCTTTTGCTCTGATAAACCTTTAAAATTTAGGATTTTACAAGATATAAATTATTTTAGATCATTTGTAGTTAGCCAAAAGGGACCATTTTACCACAAATTTGACATAAGTATCTCATCAACACTCATACCCCTAGCACAGAATAATAAACAATCAGAATGCCCACTTTCAGATGCCGCCTTTGAAGTTTTTCAGCACGTGCGCCATATTTTAGAAGGAAACACATAACACATACATATGATTTGTGGGGTTATGTAATTGTTTATATTTATGTTTAATTATATTATATTTATGTTATTATTTTTTAACAATGTTAAAATAATTGCATACCTAGTATGTCTATGATTGCCATAAGTCAATTAAACCGGGTTAACTTTTCTATGCACACCACATAAGTTTTCATTAAATAACCCTGGTTTCCTCTAAAACATGGCGAAACGTCTGTGCGAACGAGATGCGCGTACTTAATTTTCCATGGAGAGTGGGCATTCTGATTGTTTATTATTCTGTACCCCTAGAGACGAGATATACGGGATTTTGATCAGTCGCTACATAAGTAGTTGTTGAATTTCATTTACACGATTTGCTACAAATAATTTCCACTTACAAGCTAAACCTTTTATCCACGATAATGCTATCTGTGAATCCGAATAAAAATAGTACTTATCAAACTTAACTTGTAAATTCTTTACTGTTCTTTGTGTTAGCTGTGCTAATAG